GGGGGCTGCATGCACTCACCGGAGGGGTTGGTGTTGAAGAAGTGCATGGTGGCGCGGATGATGTTGGCGAACATGTTGTCGTGCAGGGCCTGGGAGCTGCGGCTGCACACCCAGTAGAAGAAGAAGGACCTCGTGAAGCCGAGCACGAACAGGCACACGATGATGGCCGTGTAGATGTAGATGAAGTTGTTCGTCGACGTGAGCGGCTCTGGCGACGACGGGGACGTCACGTTCCTCGACGAGGTGAAGTAATCGCGGAGCTCTTCCTGGTTCGTCCTGCAAAAACAAAAAACAAAACCAGAACGTATCGAGCAGCTTCCTTTTTAAACGATTTGTTGTTAAGGTCCTTTCTAACGAGAATCTCTGCAGTTTTAAGATCTGCTGTGTATCGTGGTCGTGGTCCTCACCAGAAGCCGACGAAGAAGTCCGCGAGGCTGCCGGCGGTCTGCGCGGCCAGGAAGAGGAAGATGACGACGATGAAGCCGAGGGCGTTGGTGCCGGCCAGGAAGTAGCGCAGGAACAGGCTGCCCCTGACCTTGCCCTTGGTCGTGGCCTCGATGCGCTCCATGGTGGGCGCGCCCTCCTCGTCCTCGTCGTCCTCGTCGCCCAGCGTCAGGCTGCCGACCGAGGCGCGCGAGGACCGCCGCGAGGACGACCGCCGCGACGAGCGGCTGCCCTGCACCTCGATGGACTGGCAGGGAAAGGAGGAAAGGGCTGATTGACTTTTGACTCGTTCACATGGAATCGGACCCCCGTCCGGGGTGCAGAGCTCACCCGCATGGACACCCTGGACAGCTGGCGCAGCGCGCGCATCAGCGGCCGCTTGTCCTGCTCCACCTCCTCCTCGGCCTCCTCCTCCTCGTCGCCGAGGTGCAGCATCTGTGCGTAGTCCACGTCGCTGTTGAGGAGCTCCTTGAAGGTGCCCTGCATCTGGATCTCGCCCTGCAACACGGCCGAGTCAGCCTCTTGTTTGCCGTCCCCGCAGTAGCGCCTGTGGGACGGAGGCTAGGCAAGCCCGCCGAGCGTCCGGGACACTGCGCTGCCTACCCAGCCTCTCCCGACCCCTCCACGGCAAACAGGCCAACTTTGTATTTTCTGCGGACGCTTGACGCTTTCCTGCTTACTTGAAAAATATTTCGTAAATTTGAACCAGTGCCCCCTTGCTTCCAGTTTTTTTAGAAACTTCAATACTTCTTGCCTGCTTCGCAAAATTTTACCAGTGGGCCGTATGTGAGATAGTGACGTCACGTGTACTATTTGCTTACGTTGCTGAGGATGGCGATGCGGGAGACGTCAGCCAGGTACTGGACCTGGTGCGTGACGAGGATCCTGGCCTTGTCGGCGAGCAGCTTGACGATGCACTCGTCGAACAGGTGCTTGCCGACGTGCGTGTCGACGGCCGATAGCGGGTCGTCGAGGAGGTAGAGGTCGGCCTCGCGGTACACGGCCCTGGAACACGTCGGCGCGCCACGTAGCAGCAAGAGAGAAAAGTAATGCATTCGTGCAGCAGGAAAGAGGGGAGCGGATCTTGCAGGGGAAACGGGGAAGGTGGGGGGGG